AGAGAAATATAACGTTGCGAGTCAGTAGCCTGTCCAATCTATTTTACTAATAAAAGTTTCCGTGCTGTGCTGTCGTGTGCAATAATGTGTGTGCGTGCGTCTATGAAAGCAGCGTAGCCTACTGCATATAGTTTTAGTTTAGCTATAAACGCGAGCCCGAACCCGAAGCTATTCATTAAACATTAACCCGAACCCGAACCGAAACCCGGAAGTATTTCGGGACCCGTCGGGCTCGGGTCGGGTAGCAGACCTCTAGTGTGTGTGTGTTTCTCAGAACAGATTTGGAGAAATCTCATCAATGAATCCTCTGCAGTGAATGGGTGCCACCAGAAGGAGAGACCGAGCAGCTGATAAAAGCAGCACAATAATCTACATGACTCTATCAATTAACGTCTTGTTAAGTGGAAAACTGTGTGTTTGTAATAAACAAATTCATCAAGATTTTATTAATTTCAAACTGTTGCTTCTGGCAAAATTATGAGTACTCTATCAATGATACTGCATTCTCCGGTGAAATAAGTAATCTTGTCTGAATCAGGAGAGAAGTATGCACAAATCAAGAAACATTTACAAGCGAAAACAGTCTAAAACAGTTCTAAACAAATATGTTGGTGGATTTTGATGTGAGAGGACAACAAGGGATGTACTTTTTCACTGGATGAAGTGTTATTATGGATTATGGACTGGTATTATGACCAGAAGTGATGGTTTAATAAAACGCCTGAATGCTGGATTTGTTTCTTACAAACATGTAGCTTTTCAGTTCATAGAGTCATGTGGATTACTTGAGGATTATTGTGATGCTTTTATCAGCTGTTTGGTCTCTTATTCTGACAGCATTCATTCACTGCAGAGGATCCACTGGTGAGCAAGTGATGCAATGCTAAATTTCTCCAAATCTGTTCTGATGAAGAAACAAACTCATCTACATATTGGATGGCCTGAAGAGGAGTACACTTTCAGCAAATTTTCATTTTTGGGTGGACCACTCCTTTAAATTGACTGTTACGTCAGAAACCTACCTCCCACAGTGCACCACTACAGCCACCAGGTCGTACAATCGATCAGGGTTGGTAGCATCACCAGAGGTGTTAAAGAGCCTCAGCTCCAGAGGGAAGACTACACGATAAGAGAGCTTGGTGTAGCGATGAAGCTGGTCCATATACTTAAAGCGCTTTAGGTGCAGGGCCAGGATCATGGGTAATTTCTTCACCCGCATCCTGTAAGGAAGAGAGACAGGATCAATTTTAACTTGAAATTCCATCTCTATTCTCAGACTGCACTTTATTGGCCAACTTCCTGAGCAACTGTAATTGTTAAATGCTCCATGATTAAAATCTCTCCCTACAGCCACCAGGTCGTACAATCGATCAGGGTTGGTAGCATCGCCAGAGGTGTTAAAGAGCCTCAGCTCCAGAGGGAAGACTACACGATAAGAGAGCTTGGTGTAGCGATGAAGCTGGTCCATATACTTAAAGCGCTTTAGGTGCAGGGCCAGGATCATGGGTAATTTCTTCACCCGCATCCTGTAAGGAAGAGAGACAGGATCAATTTTAACTTGAAATTCCATCTCTATTCTCAGACTGCACTTTATGGCCAACTTCCTGAGCAACTGTAATTGTTAAATGCTCCATGATTAAAATCTCTCTCTCGCAAAGAACCAACACACTAATGCATTGAGTACAACACCCAAGATGCATTCAGGAAGGAAGGAAATACTACATAGACAGGGGCGGTGCATATGCAGCAGCCTTACATTAGTTGAAGTGAATATCACAGCAAATGAGCCACTGGAACAAGAGTAATTTCAGCCATGCCAGTCTGTTGGAACTACATACCTTTTCTGAGCCTCCTGTTTACTTCTGCATTGCTCACAGTAGTACTTGCATTCACTACATAAGGTCTCTGTGTTGCTGAATCCCCTGTCAGTGCAGAGACAACACGTTATCTTTCCACATTAATAAACATTAAACAAAGAATTTTCACCAATGGGACATTTTTTCCAATTATGTTTGTGGCTTTACCTAAGACAGTGTGTGATGGAGGTATTCTGCTCCACGTCCACTGAAAGGTCTAGGAAGTCTTCATCTTTACTGCTCACCTGGGACGAAAGAGGACATGATTACCCGTCATACATTCTAAGACTACATATTATGCAAGACTATATATTATCAAAATCAGCTAGTTGGTGGCTTGTCTGAACGACTGGTCGGTTGTAAGGAATCCCTGGAGAAATATGCTGATGTGTTTCATAATACATAGTGTTTCCAAAAACAGCCAGACCTTGTCCCGAATGCAACCTTAAGCCCTTGTTGTCCTCCTCTGTGTCTACTCTACTCTTCAATGATGTAATATCACAGAGACTGTAGAGTAGCAGCATGCAGTGGAAAATGCATCAACTCAGCAAATCAGTATATCAAGGGTGTGTGATGGCAGGAAAAAGGGCACCCATGAGCACCCTTCAGAATCATCAAATGAAAAACATGGACATTTCCATTTCTGAGTTTGGGTTGCTTATAACATGCATTTGGAAACACAACATGTGCCAACCTCAAACTTGCTATGAGAAGCACTTATAAACCAGCTGTTGTCAACACAAGAGACGCTTGAAGGGCTCTCTACGGTTATCCACCAAATAAAAGCTTGATGGTTTAACGTTTAAAAAAGGAGAAATGAACACAGCCATAAATATTAGTATTGTATTTTTACAGTTATTATAGATATCTATAATATTATTATATTACAATATTATGTAACAATATAAATATAAATGTAAATTTATTATTACATTATATAATTTTTTATACTTTCTTTAAAAGTTGTCAGATATTACAATACTAATATTTCATTCTTTAATATTGTATTTAGTAGTAGTAATAATCATCATCATCATCTTAGTGTATATATATATATATATATAATAATTTTAGTCATATTAATATATAGATCACAAAATGTTGGGCCTAATTGTGCAGCCCTACTAACAATCGCAGCAAACCTGAAGCTTTGTATTAAAATTACTATTAAACACACACATACATCTCAGTTCAGCGAGGAGTGTTATCATCATATTCCACAATCCAAACATTTAACAGAGTTCTTTGTGCTGTGGCACACTGTTGAAAACTATCACATCCATACAATCCCCCAGATGCCGATTAGTCAAAAGTAAAGTGACGAAAACATGGTCACAACTACTCATCCCATATCTCAATAATGAAAGCCAGAGCCCTTTAGGGTACATATGACTCACTCTACCTCCTCTGACTCACCGCTTCACAGTTCAGGCACCGTGTCTCATTGGTCAGTGTGCCTTGGAAGATCTCGTGCACCCAGGTCTGCTGGGTCTTTTCCTCCGTTTCACCCTCTCCTGTGCTGCTACCGCTTCCACCTCCTCCTCCGCTTCCACCATTCTGTACTACCTTTCCATTCTGTTGTCTCTCCTGGCTCTTTTCCTCCTGTAGCAGATCTGCAATGGTGTTGAGCAAGTAGTTGAGGAATTCGTGTGCGTCTTGCTGCATGTAGTTGTCAAACAGCTCTGCAGGTAAAATAAAAGGAAGCGTTGATAGCATTAGGTAGCTGCAAGTCTAATATATAAATAGTAGAAATGAACAGTGTGAAAATGATTTAATCATTTAATAGCTGTGCATTTCAATCACGTGTACAGTGTTAACTGCATAGCTATTCAGCAGTGCAGCTGAATCTACTGCACCATGGTAAAAGAAATTACATTTTATGTCAGTTCTGAATTTGCAGTCAAAGCAAAATTATACAACAATAAATTGTGTTGTCTTTGCTGGCTGCATGAACAGTGTATTCCGGTTCATGATAAATGACTCTTATGAGCTGCTCTGTTATCGTTTTAATCATCCTAACAACTGTAATAACTGAATCCATTAGATCAGTTACTATATTACGATTAAACTCACTTTTTGACTAGCAAAACATAACTTCACATCTTGACTCGAAATGGACTACCTGTTCAAGCAGCTACACATTCATCTCATACAGATCTAATAAATGGCATTTAAAACGGAATATTGTGAAATATTATTACAATTTCAAAACTGTTTTCTATTTGAATATTATTCATGTGATGACAAAGCTGAATTTTCAGCAGCCATTACTCCAGTCTTCAGTGTCACATGATTCTTTAGAAATCATTCTCATATGCTGATTTGGAAACATTTCTTATTATTACCAAAGTTGAAAACTGTTGTGCTGCTTAATATTTTTGTGGAAACCAACATTTTTTTAAGAATAGAAAGTTCAAAAGAACATTGGAAATCTTTTGTAACATTATAAATGTCTTTACTGTCACTTTTGATCAAATTTAAGGCATCTTTGCTAAATAAAAGTATTAATAAAAAACAAATACTGATACCAAACTTTTGGTAGTTTATCTAGACAATCAATATACAATAGCATATCCACGTTTACATTCAGAATGTTTACAAATATATCAGAACAGCATATTACCTCCTTAGCAACATCTTCACATATCATTTTACAGATCTCCGGGCGGGCACCTGCATAATATTCCCACTAACCCACATCAACTGGCATCTTGTCAGTCAGTCAAATCCTTTACTGTAGGACCTGGGATCTTTTCTCACCATTTTCCTTCCTCAGCCTGGAGATGAACTTCTTTGGTGGAATGACTCCCACTTTCTTCTTCTGAGTTGCAATGCTGTTGAACAGGTCAGCCAAGCAGGTGAGCAGGCTCTCTTTACGTCGCGGCTGGATCTTATAGGCCAGGACTTTCTCCCGGAAGGGCCGGCAAAAGTACAGTGCCTGCAGCACTGAGTTACAGTAGCAGGTGTTGCCAAACTGAGTGACCAGATTGTGATTGAACAAAGAACAGATTAAAGATTGATGAAGGACATGTGATGACATACATGTGCATATAGTATGTGTCATATCTGCAATTAATGTCTCTGTGAAGGAAAGCAAACCATTGTTGGATATATGGAGTGGATTTATTATTATACTTTGTTGCCTTTTATACATGCTTGCCAAATCTGCTATTAAGTGATGGCACAAGCACATTACATAAAAACAGGTGCTTTAAAATGTAAAAGTAATACGGCAAAGTCATCTTCTATTTATAGCACATTCACTGACAAAAACAATAAATGTAAACTTACATTGACCAGCCCAAAGTAGTGTTCATTAACAGGGAACTGTTCCGGTCCAATCTCCTTTTCCAAAGCAGAGGCATTGGCGCCCTATAGGGAACAGCCACAATGGTTATCTTTGCTCATGGGGTCTCAAAAAAATACAAGTGAACACCCTGGACCTATTGGAGACTAACAGGAACATCCTGTTTGTGAAGAATGATGCCAGGCTTGGAATTAACAGGATGCAGTTGCTGGGCAATTGAACCCACTTTGTTTCACCAGGGAAGAACATCAAGGAAGAGCTGTAAGTGGTATCAGTATCTGAAGCATAATGCATGAGTTCTCAGAAGTTAAAAGGCCTAAGTCTGTGATTGTCAAGCTTTTGGACCCAAAAGACACCGCCACCGTCTAACACCTTATTCAAAGACCCCCTTCCCCAAATATAGGATGAGTTATTTCTGGCATTTCTGCTGTGTTTATGGTAAAGCTACTTATTTTAATAACAGAAACTGGGAGTATACAAAATTTAAATTAACCATGATTAAGAAATTTCAAAAACTGTGTGATCATCAATAGGAACAACACTTATTGAGAGGGGAAAAGAAATATGATTGCAGTTTACAACTTGATTTTATGTGTGTGTGTGTGTGTGTGTGTGTGTTTTCTTTTAGCATTTTAATTTAGTTTAGAGTGGTCATTTTAAATATTCTGTTTCTGGAAGGATGAATCACCAAAGGGAACTGATTCATCATGATTTCGGTAATCTGTGGGAAAATGTAACTAAATATACAAATTCACATATAATGTCAACCCAATACTTGATGAACCTTGATCCCATGCCACAATGTACCAATAACTTTTACTCAATTTATGAAAAGTAATTTTGATATAACTCTTTTACACAGTACATACTGGCACCCTGAGGTGACTAAGCTAAATCAACAAGATAACCTTAACTCTATAACTTGCTTATCAGTGACTGCTGGTAAATAAAGAAATCGGCACATAAATATCTTGCTATCGAAAGGGTTTACTGATTGATACGAGCTAAATCTCAAACTCAAACTAGAAATCGTTCAATAACAGAACTCCCAGTAGTTACCCATATAACTAAAATTTTAATTTCTAATAATATTATGTACACAGCAAATACTCAATTTTATGTTCGTTGTAAGTCTGATCTACAGTGAATGTTCTCGTGTAAACCCTTTTAGCACTACAAAGACACCGAGCTCATTAAATCAGTTTTTAGTCGTGTCCTTCAAATAACGTTAAAACAACAACAACAGTAGCAGCAGCAGGAGGAACTGTAGTCCCGTGCATGACCTCGCCTGTTACCCCGTCCATCCTTCCTCTTTACAAAACACTGGTAAACATATCGAAAAGTATCCCCATGCCAGATATCATCTGACGGTAAATAAAGCTGAGCCGTCCGGCTAATCAAACATGGACATTATGTGTGTCGATCGCTAATACGCTAGGCTATACATTTTACCCTTGAGCAGAATAGCAAATTATCTGACAAAAATGCTTTTAAGTCCGTTTAACCACATCTCCAAACTTCTACTGCGTCTATAAACACAGACAGAGAGGTGTGCAAACTTTTTGTGGCTGTGCTGCCATGTCATGACGCGGTTGTTTATCTGGTAGCTGTTGAGCTAGCACTGTTAGCAGGCTAATCCAAACACAGGTTAGACGCAGTGGACGGGGCAACTCTCACTTATGCGAGGAAAAACTCACCATCGTACAAATCGAGGCGATCTTTCGGACTGTCATCAGTATTTCCATCCGTCTTCCGCCATATTGGACCGAACCCCTATTTAAAACTGTGACAGCCGCACGGGCTGAAGTTCCGGTGAATCCTTCAGTCGGTCCAGCTCGCAGCGGAATGAGGGAGTGTCGCCTAGCAGCTGCGCAGTACACAACATTACGAAACCTACTATGGCCAAGACTTCTGTTCACATGAACTTTTTTTAAACATGGTTCACAAATACTGGGGAATTTAGCATAGAATTTACAAAGCACAGAATAGAATAGAAAAGAAAGGATATGCAAATGTCACCGTAAGCGTCAATTAGGAAAATATTTTAAGGGACAATTAAAAAAAAATTATTTCACATATCTTGTTTACATTTTTTTAAACAGTTTGTTACAGCATATTTTGTAATAATTTATATTGTCTATATTATGTTTCTTATCAGTGTAATGTCTATGGTATTAGAACTGCGAGTCTTACAACTGGTATATTTGCATTTGTAAATACTGAAAAAATGACATTCACTACATTTAAAAACATTCAACATTATTTATCATTCATATGATTTCCTAAAATTACATGTCTTGTAAATGTAACATCCCCTGAACAATAAATAGCCTAAAATGATATCGAATTAGTGCGGATAATCGTGAGAAAATAATATCTGAAGGAACCTGATAAAGATCTATTTTTACTTGTTTTGAAAACAAATAAGTTTTGCATCAGTAACTATGATAATTCCGATGTATGATATTAAATAAAAAAAGTGGCATTTTAAATAAGAATATAATTTAATTATTTTATTTCACCTCAGAAAAGCATAGTGAACCAATTGGATATAAAGGCAGACAACGGTGAATTATGGATACTATTTGTAAAAAGCATACATGCCCTATAGTAATAGCCCCGCCTTACATTCTTTTGATGTTTTGATATTTTATGGCGAAGGCTTACCCTATGAATATTAATTAGGTAATACTGACGTTGTTTGGTAACCTTCCTATCAATGGGCCTATTTAATATTCATGAACCAAGACTTCTACATAGTAAGATTCTTATACATCCGCCCTTCTTCTTCTTTGGTTTCTCGACTTATCCTTTAACGACCGCAGAGTCATGTATACACTCCGGACGCACTATGTTGCTTTTGACCGATGTTTTATAGATTAGTGGGAGCCTGGACAGGGAGGAGAACACGACATTGAGACGACCTTAGAGGTCACACTGGCGCTCGGCTATTTCCGTGCTGTCTTTTCATCCACAAGCGCGCGCGCGCCTAGCAGCTGCGCAGTACACAACATTACGAAACCTACTATGGCCAAGACTTCTGTTCACATGAACTTTTTTTAAACATGGTTCACAAATACTGGGGAATTTAGCATAGAATTTACAAAGCACAGAATAGAATAGAGAAGAAAGGATATGCAAATGTCACCGTAAGCGTCAATTAGGAAAATATTTTAAGGGACAATTAAAAAAAAATTCTTTCACATATCTTGTTTACATTTTTTAAAACATTTTGTTACAGCATATTTTGTAATAATTTATATTGTCTATATTATGTTTCTTATCAGTGTAATGTCTATGGTATTAGAACTGCGAGTCTTACAACTGGTATATTTGCATTTGTAAATACTGAAAAAATGACATTCACTACATTTAAAAACATTCAACATTATTTATCATTCATATGATTTCCTAAAATTACATGTCTTGTAAATGTAACATCCCCTGAACAATAAATAGCCTAAAATGATATCGAATTAGTGCGGATAATCGTGAGAAAATAATATCTGAAGGAACCTGATAAAGATCTATTTTTACTTGTTTTGAAAACAAATAAGTTTTGCATCAGTAACTATGATAATTCCGATGTATGATATTAAATAAAAAAAGTGGCATTTTAAATAAGAATATAATTTAATTATTTTATTTCACCTCAGAAAAGCATAGTGAACCAATTGGATATAAAGGCAGACAACGGTGAATTATGGATACTATTTGTAAAAAGCATACATGCCCTATAGTAATAGCCCCGCCTTACATTCTTTTGATGTTTTGATATTTTATGGCGAAGGCTTACCCTATGAATATTAATTAGGTAATACTGACGTTGTTTGGTAACCTTCCTATCAATGGGCCTATTTAATATTCATGAACCAAGACTTCTACATAGTAAGATTCTTATACATCCGCCCTTCTTCTTCTTTGGTTTCTCGACTTATCCTTTAACGACCGCAGAGTCATGTATACACTCCGGACGCACTATGTTGCTTTTGACCGATGTTTTATAGATTAGTGGGAGCCTGGACAGGGAGGAGAACACGACATTGAGACGACCTTAGAGGTCACACTGGCGCTCGGCTATTTCCGTGCTGTCTTTTCATCCACAAGCGCGCGCGCGCACACACACACACACACACACACACACAAACCAGAACAACTCACTACAAACATGACTGCTAAATGACTAAATAAATAAATAAATACAAATATGAACTCAGGTGCACAGCTGTTTGAAATAATGTTTTCTATCTTGATTTTACAATGTAAAATTCTACAGGATGAAATATATATTTATATATATATATATAAACGAAGTAAAAACTAAGTTTTCTAATATAATCACTAAATCTAAAGAGGCTACTACGTCGTTATCGTTTAGTGTAAAGGTTGTAGGCCTATTTGCGTGTGAGGAAACAGCTGCTGTGCTTTCTTTTACTATCGACACTTTACGATAGTGCTTCGAAGAAAAGCATTAAAATAGCTAACACTAATTAAAAAGTAATTTAACAATACACTCATTCTTTTATAGCACGCTTATTAATATATAAATGCACTATCAATGCATAAACATTCAGTCAAACGTGAACTTTTATGAATATACATTTAATACACACATTTAAGCATATCACATTTAATCTTACAGGCCTAAATTAATCTGGGTCTGAGTGAGCCACGCTAGTTTACTCACGCCCCTTCGCTTGTCCGTTTTTTTGTTTTTTTTAGCTGAAGGCGCAGTTGCGGTCTGTGGAAAGAGATCTGGCGATCAGGAACTGCTGGTGGTGAACGGTTCAATTCTACTTTGCTAGACTACATTAGTTACTTCATTAGAGGGCCGGTATGCAGAATTAACATTGATGTCGTGCAGAAGTGGATACAGCGCTTTAGGGTGCATTGGATTGCATTTATTAAAACAGTCTATGAAGACCTCTGTCTGGCAAACGTGGATAACAGAAGGCTTATTGCGTTATGAGGAGGACACCTAACGTGTGGAGCGGGCTCATATAGCGCGAGAAAGCGGAGGAAAAGAGATGCATTTCTACACAGCCGAATAATAGTTATAGCTTTCTAAATGCGTCTTCTTATCGAGCAGCCAAGAACAATGAGCAGCGGCTCTAGCAACTTTCTGCTAGTTCCTATACCGGAGTATCCTGTACTAGACTGCGTGCCAAACAAAAACGTCAAAATAGTTGTTCTTGGGGCAAGCAATGTCGGAAAAACAGGTAAATATATCAAACAATGTGGATTTTAATATGCACAAGTAATAGCCAACTAATTTTACTTTATGCCATCATATTTTTATTTCATAGTAACTTATTCTAATGGCACTTTGGTGATTTAATATTTATACAGTTTATTCTGTTTAAAGTCATTAATAAATAAATGGTACGCATGTTTCTAATCCTGAAAAATGATGATGTTGGGGATATTTAAGCTAGTTTAACGCCAGGGTGCGACATACACTGGAACACTGCAAAGTTGTGTACGAGCTGTGTGACATTGCTTATGCCTTTATGCTGATACAAAGTTTCCATTTGGTTTCAATTTTCAGCTCTGATTGTAAGATTTCTTACTAAAAGATTCATAGGAGACTATGAAGCCAACACAGGTAAACATTATAATGAAACAATGCTACTATACTATGATCATATGCTGAACTGTAAAAATGTTTTCATCATGACATTTTTGTTTCAGTCCGTTGGTTACAATCATTTCTGCCATGAATCGTAATAGATTTATGAGACTTTCAGCATTTTACACTGAAAATACACTGACGTTTATCATTTTAGTGAGTGGATTTTTTTTTTTTTTCAACAATTCTAGGAGCCTTGTATTCAAGGAAGATTCATTTGGATGGGGAGCAAGTTTCTTTACAAGTGCAGGACACTCCATGTGTCTCACTGCAGGTACCTCCAAATCACATTCCTAATACTTCCTTCCATCTTTCAGCTAAACATCCATCACAAGTAGTGTGCCCATGGTCTATTATCACAGTCATTTAGATCACTCAGTCATTGCCTTGGGATTCCTGCTTCAGATGAACTGTGGGGAATATTAGTTCAAACATTTGGCCAGTAAACAAAGTATGCAGCGCAGGGGAGATAAAGAGGGTGTGTTCAGGCATAAGCTCATTAGTCTGACTCATGTGGACTGAAGGGCTCTCTTCAACTGAATGAATCTGATCCTGGCTCAAGCGTAGTGTACTGTATATATAGGTGTCATAATGACTGAGAATTTACTTTGTCGTTGTTATGTTAGAACTTACTTATTGGTAGTCAGCCCTATTATTGTTAAAAACCTATTAAGCATATTATATTTGCAGCAATCATTAAAATAATATTATAGCTAATATTTCCTTTACAGTAAAATGATCAGTTCATTTCCAAAATAATGTAATTATACACACGCACACACTACTGGTCAAACACTTGGAATCATTACGATATTTGAACATTTTTGAAAGAAGACTTATGCTCACCAAGGCTGGATTTATTTGGTTAAATAATACAGTAATATTGTGAAATATTATTACAATTTAAAATAACTGTCTTCTATTTTACTATATTTTAAAATGTAAATTATTCCTGTGTTGGCAAAGCTGAATTTTTAGCAGCCATTACTCATCCTTCAGAAATCGTTGGTGCTCAGAAATGATTTGGTGCTCAAGAAACACTTCAAACATTTCTTGTTATTATTATCAGTGTTGAAGACAGTTTTTGCTACTTAAAATTTTTGTGGATACATTGATACACTATTATTCAAAAATAAATACTTTTACTCAGCAAGGACACATTCAACTGATCGAAAGTGACAGTACAGACATTTTACAAAAGATTTCAGTTTCAAATAAATGCTGTTCATTTGAACTTCCTATTTGTCAAAGAATCTTGAATTTTTTTTAATCACAGTTCCACAAAATATTAAGCAGCAACAACGGTTTTCAACATTGATAATAAAATATTTGTTGTTTACCAAATCAGCATATTTCTTACAGAATTTGGTGTAGAATCAATTTTCACCCAGAAATTGCTAGTAAATTTCATAAACATTGTTATATAAAATTGGAATAAAAACACCAGTTTTCTCATTCCAGGATGACGCAGAGGGTCTTTACTGTCAAGAGCAGATCAACCGCTCCATTTACTGGGCAGATGGTTATGTGCTCGTCTTCTCCATCAATGACCTCAACAGCTACCGTACCATCCAGCCTCTCTACCAACATGTGCGGCGAATCCATCCCAGCGGCAACATCCCTGTTATCATCGTGGGAAACAAGAACGACCTGCTGCGTGCCCGGCAGGTCCCGGATCACGAGGGTAAGGCGCTGGCTGATGAATTGGGAGGGCCCTACTTTGAGGCTTCGGCCAGGGAAAACCATGAGAGCGTCCAGGCTGCTTTTCTGTTCTTATGTCAAGAGGTAAGCCGAGCGCTGGGAGGAGCAAATGGGGAGAAGAGAAAAGGTGGACTACACCTTGCCAGGCCAAAGAGCCCGAACATGCGAGAGCTGAAGAGAAGGTTCCGGCAAGTGTTGTCATCCAAGGTCAAGTCAGCAACTGCACTATGATGACGACGATGATGATATGATTGACGAATGTGACTGTATAGGATTCAGAAAGTGTTAACAAATTGCTGTTGCGTAAGTGATTGTGAAACACGAGGCAAAACATTGAAACTCGTAGAAGATGAGCAGCGAGATCACTGCACTCTGAATGAACTGTAACATGGGACTCCTGGCACTGAACTTCTAATGGTTTTAAGGCCAAAAAGTCTGTTTTTGTTTAATCTTTTAGCTGCTATTATGCAAATGTTTCCTGGTTTTCCAGGATTATAATTAATTTCTCAAATTCATTTGTTTAATAATGAATTTCTTTCATTTATAAATGAGGATTGTAAATGAATTTCCTCTTTTAATGTGAAGCGAGGATAAAAAGATAATTTTTGACCAAGGCCATTTATTACGTATATTGAAAGTAGCAAAATAAAACAAACATATTGAAGGGCCATTTATTGCACACATTAGATTACTGCAGTCTATTCCTAAGATTCTCATGTGACTGGAGCAGTTTTACAAAATGTTATTCTAGGATTATCCCAAATTTTCCTGACGTTGAGAGAGATAATCCAGCTATGTTGTTTATAATCATGGGAGGAAGAGGTTGTTGACTGGTGGTTCCCATGACCTTTGACCTACTTACACTGTGTCAAGTATTTGAGTAGTATGGAGGTTCGTAGAGGTTCTCCTTCGCTTGTTTCTTCCAGATGTCCCATTCGCCCACTCAAATGGACGTTTGTTTACGGAAAGTGACAGCATGTCCATTTCCTTATACTATGACAAAGTAAAGGAATGGTAAAATAAACGGTATATGCTGTGGTGATTTGATTTCTTTCTCAACAAGCCTTCAGGCTCTCTCTCTTTGTCTCCCTCTTGTTTTACATAAATCAACAATATTTTCAAATGCTTTCTTGTGTCAAAATCTCCATTTAATTTCAATGGAAATGTTCTCATATTATTCTCAAATCGTTGCAAACTAGAGAACTCGTTGGTTGATTGGCAGTGTTCCAAGTCCGATTAACCATTACAAGATTAAATGTGCATATCTAATTCAGCTGTGGGTGTCTCTGAGAACTAAATGTTCCACAATAATAGTATATTCAAAAGTATTTCTGATCAAGAAATGTTTTAAAAGAACTTAAATGTTAGTATAAACATTGTATTGTAAGTCTCACATTTGCACTGTAAAATGGAACTAGTTTAAATAACAGTAAAATAATTATACTGACATACACTGTGACTTTAGAGAAAATATCCACATAAACATAACAGATGTAGGCTGTTCCTCTGAAAAGATTTCCTCATCAGGCACACCTTTAATAAGGTAACGTCTTGTACACAATTATTACGCGGCTCTCTATAATACTCAGTTTTGATTGGTCAGTCCAGTCGCGCCATTCAGCAATAAGTTATTTCCTAATATTCTTTTTTGTCCATGACAAAAATATTATTCTTTTTTTTGTTCATTTCTCTTGTACCACTCCGCAGACTCGCACTTTCTCGTTTCATAGAAACGCAACTTTGCGCAATCATGCACCTTACTTATCGGCTGTAGTGACAGTGACGGTTGATTGTTTTGTGCCTTGTAATAGACTGTTTGTTTTGTCTTCAAGGAACAGGTATACAGGTAAATATGCAGGTAAAATGATAAAATATTTAAACAAATAAATTTAATGTCCACATATTTTGTTATTTGTTTAGTAAGTAGTCATGTAATAAACGTAAAGCATGAGTGGAGAAAAAAACCAAAGTGTGAATGTTTGTGACACCATTGTAAGTTGAAAATGCATGTTACCTGGCTTGACCATAACATATAAGTAGGCCTACAATTACAAAAATCGGAGGGATCTGGTGATGGATTAGACCACAATCCTGAATCAGTGGCGCCTCTCCTTTAGTTTGCGTAAAACAGATTTAATAAACCATCTCTCTGACATTACCATTATGAATGGCTTCCTGTTGCTACTATGACCTGCAAAAATTGAGAAAGACAGGGCTTATGTTGTCCTCTGTCTCATGAGGAGTACGAGCTGGTGTTTGTCCTAATCATGGTTCATTTGGGAAAGCTGGTAAAGGAAGTCTGAATTCTCAGCAGAGTGTTATTAGGAGAAACAGCTGTGACGTGAAATGGTGAGAGACATTCTTTTCCCCATCTGAGCTCATTACGTTATCACGGCCACAGGAAGCATGACCAAGACCATTCCCAAAGGAGGACTGGGGGTGGAAAGAGGGAGAAAAACAGAAAGAGAAAGGTAAAAAGGCAATGAGGCAGGAAGCTAGAGGGAGAGAAAGAAGGAGAGCTGTTAATGAAAATAAAAAAGACAGAGAAGGAAGGTCACAATCTTCCAACTGATCCTTTAAGAGTGACAAACGTCAATGAGGTTTGAGACCTGCTAGTTCCTGTCAGCAGAACCTCTGTCAAGACTGACTGCGGTGTTAACACATCAAATCACGTCTATCGTTTAATTGCAGTTTGAATACTGGGATGTACGTTCACATCTGTTTTCATATTTGTTCAGTTTTGGAAATAACACCAACTACTCTTCAAGATTCACCCTAGTAATGTGTGGTTTAGTCTCTCGAAACATTTTGTGTTCACCATGTAACTGTTTCTGTCCTTTTACATTTAAAGGAGACATAGTATGCCCCTTTTTACAATATATAATATAAGTCTCTGGTGTCCCCAGAATGTCTCTGTGAAGTTTCAGCTCAAAATACTATAATTTTGAAAATGCCTATTTTCAGTGGAAGCAGAAACACGCTGTTTTTCGTGCCTGTCTCTTTAAATGCAAATGAGCTGCTGTTCCCCGTCCCCGCCCCCTTTTTCAGAATAGAGCTGCGCCGTTACATATCGGACCTCCTAAAAACATCTGTTTTGGTTCTGATTTTCATGTTTATCGCGCTGAAATCATGCGTTTTAAACCATATGAGTTTAAACTTCTGATATATGGTTTTCTGAGAGCACACATCCAAGTTTACGTTAAAAACACACAAGTTACAAAAACAGTTGGTTATTTCTGTGAAGGTAAACTGCTGGGAAATAAATCGCATGTTTATTTTAGATCTGTGTGGCAGCAGCAATATACAGTAAATAAATCAATAAATCCACTGCTCTCTTGCCTCCTCTGAGGCAGGTAATCTTAATAGCGTTCTGTTCTCTCTTTGCAGCCAAAGACAGAACAGTTAGCATGCTTTGCTCAAACTTTCGCCATGACGTTAGAACTGGTACACCGTTGTCGCTTGCGAAAACACAATGAGGCACTGTGGGTGTATTACATTTACAGATTAAGGGGCGGTAATATTATAATAAGATCCCTTTGCCACGTCACCAAGGGAGCGAAATCAGAGGCACTCGTTTTTTTCAGAGGCTTGCAGAAAAAGGCTTACCAAAACAAAGTTACTGGGTTAATCTTTTTCACATTTCCTTGGTTGGTAGATGCACCGGGGACCTGATTATAGCACTTAAAACCTGGAAAAGTCAGATTTTCATGATATGTCACCTTTAAGGTCTGGCATTTTCTTGATGGTCCAGCTCTTTCAGGGATAAAAGAGGTAAAAATCTGTTTCAGATTTTGCACTGTACTCTCAAGATTCACAAAAAAGTTCTCAAAAGTGTGGAGGCATTACCATTCTAATAAACATAACATTCTGAGAGAAAAGTGAACTACGGGATGCAGCTGGTCAAATAAAATGGCCTTTTATTCCTGTATATACCATCATACAGAGCGGTCATCAGACCTACAGTAATGGCTCCCACGAGATGGCTGTCCGTATATGGATCACCCACCATATTTAACAGCTGTCTTTGTTCAAATTTGAACCATCTGGATGCAGACCGGATTACTTGGTAGGTTATAGGTTATGCTTCACCGCATGTTGGCTTTGAATAATAATAGTCTCCAAATATCAGCCCAGCAGTCTTGAAACAGTCTTGAAACTTAAGGCAGAGTTCGTAGAGACTTGGTCAGAGATGTGCCAGTTCAGTTTTGTGCTCATTTTTTATGAGTCTATTATGGTATTTAGCAGCTGTCCTGTGATGCAGTGGCTTACCAGCCAATAAGAAACATTCTCAGAACTTTGCCTAATATTCTGGCAAAGTTATGAACAAACTTTCTTCCAGTAAGGTTAATACAATGTTCATTTAGAGTCATATGGTCTTTAATAATGTTCTCGGAGTGTTAGCACAAAAACATTGTTATAAATCATTCAAGAAACAGTTATTTTTCTAAATGTGCTACTTGCTTCATAACATTCAGAGAACATTCAAAAGTAAAGTATTTTCATAACGTAATGGGAACATTAAAAAACATTCTTAGAACATATTTTGGTTAGATGGGATCATAGTTCAATCTGAGGTGGCACAAAACCATTTGTCTACATTTGGTCAGTCCAATCCTCAGTTACACCTTTGCTTTAACCTGAAAATACTGTCATGATCTAGTTTTCTCGTGTTGTTCAAAACTAGTTTGAATTTTCTCCCTTAGAACAGGAAAAGGATTTTTATCAAAATGTTAAAGCTTCTCTTTTCCAGTGAGAATGCATTGTGATCACACGATCATTTGCAATTTTTCCTTGGTTCATGAGCCTAGATATTTGTTTCCTTGGCCATATCTTTGTCACCTCATTTTGCTGGGCACCATGTGAGCCAGGACTTGTGCCTCTTAATAAAAAAAAAGGAAAAAAAAGGTGAAGACACACCTGCTGTGAAGTGTCCTTCTAGCCTTGATTTTGAGCCGTGCAGCTCATTTTTTATATCACACAATAAAATAACCCTATACTAAAATAACCCCTATCTTATGAAATGATAATTGTTTCTGTGACAGCCTTAAAAAGCAGCAGCAGCAATAATAATAATAATAATAAATCCTTGTTTAATATCAGAAATGCTCTCTGTCAACCATTGTGTGCATTCATGTTTGATGTTTTGTCTTTAAGTTAGCAAACGTTAGCAATTAACTAAAATCTTTAAAAGTATTTTGTAATTCACAGTTGAGGCCTAATGGCTGAGAGTCGGACTGGTAACCCGAAGGTGTGGGTTCGAGTCTCAGTACTGGCAGGAGTTGTAGGTGGGTGGAGTGAATGAACAGTGCTCTCTTCCGTCCTCAATACCCGTGACTGAGGTGCCCTTGAGCAAGGCACCGAACCCCCAACTGCTCCCCGGGCGCAACAGCAAAACAAACAAACAAACATACAAACAAAAACAAAAAAACACTGCTTCGGGTGTGTTCACAGTGTGTGTGTTTGTTCACTACTCACTGCTCTTTGTGTGCACTTGGATGGGATAAATGCCATTTACACCATACTTGGCCACACGTCACCTCACTTTAATTTCACTTTTTTTTATTTGGTATGTTAATAAATCTGTTGTTTGTCTTGATACAGTTGCTTCTTTGCTTTGCAGACCTTATCGACTTTTTAATAAAAACCCACCTCACCTACATGTACAAAAACACTTGTAATTCTGATCTAGTTTCTTCAAATGTATTTTTTCTTCAGTAGTCCAGCCACTGTGCAACTATACAGACACAAACATATACAAATACTTTCTTATAAACATATTCTTCAATTTCACATATAAATACATAATAGGCTATTATAAATGTGTGTTTATAATACACACACACATAAAAAAAAACTGAACTGGATCACTAGGCAGTGTTTTAGAGTCGTTTCCTGGTTACTACAACAGAAAAGATTCATAGCAAATCATTAAACCCCTTTTGTTTTCCTTCTAGACTATATGTGGCATCAAAGTATTACATAAGCCCCATCATAACCAGTCTACAATCTAAGTCTGGAATGATTGAGAAAGTTTCAATTCCTTATTAATCTATAGTATAAATAGTTACATGGGTTTTATTTGCTATTCTGGAAGGCATTTAGG